AGAGAGAGAGAAAGAGAGAGAGAGCGTGAGAGAGAGGGAGAGAGAGCAGAGAGAGAGAGAGAGGGGAGAGAGAGAGGGAGGGAGAGAGAGAGGGGAGAGAGAGAGAGCGTGAGAGAGAGGGAGAGGGGAGAGAGAGAGAGAGCGCGAGAGAGAGGGGAGAGAGAGAGGGAGGGAGAGAGAGAGAGAGAGAGAGAGGTGAGAGAGAGAGGGAGGGAGGGAGAGAGAGAGAGAGAGAGAGAGTGAGAGAGAGAGAGGGGAGAGAGAGAGAGAGAGAGGGGAGAGAGAGAGGGAGGGAGAGAGAGAGAGGTGCGAGAGAGAGAGAGGGAGAGAGAGAGAGAGAGAGAGGGAGGGAGAGAGAGAGAGCGCGCGAGAGAGAGAGAGAGAGCGCGAGAGAGAGAGAGAGAGAGCGCGCGAGAGAGAGAGAGAGAGACCGCGAGAGAGAGAGAGAGAGACCGCGAGAGAGAGGGGAGAGAGAGAGAGAGAGAGAGAGAGAGAGAGAGAGAGGCGAGAGAGAGAAAAAGAGGGGAGAGAGAGAGCGCGAGAGAGAGAGAGAGAGCGTGCGAGAGAGAGAGAGAGACCGCGAGAGAGAGAGAGAGACCGCGAGAGAGAGGGGAGAGAGAGAGGGAGAGAGAGAGAGAGAGAGCGCGAGAGAGAGAGAGAGCGCGAGAGAGAGAAAGAGGGGAGAGAGAGAGCGCGAGAGAGAGAGAGAGAGCAGAGAGAGAGAGGAAAGAGAGAATCTCAGTCTCTTCCTTTGTCTTGGGAGTAATGGGAGCGAGGCCGCACCTGCCCTGGGACACGGCGGGAGCAGCCTGACCTTTCTGCAAATCCGTCCAAACGCAAACACATCGGATTATCTTAATTAGAAAGAGATGAAAGAGGATCACAAAGGCCTGAGCCGAGCGGGAACGCCGCCGCCACCACCGCCGTTGCCAACGCCACTGCCACCGCCAACGTCACCGCCGCCAACGCCACCGGATAAGATCTGACGGATTTGAATTCAGTGAAGCTAAAATAACACGATTCAAACTCATTTTGCAAAAAGGAAGCAGCAGAATTCCGGTTCGGTCTTTTCTCCGGACGGCAGTGGACATGACTGGACTGGACTAGACTGGACTGGACTGGACTGGACTGGACTGGACTAGACTAGACTAGACTAGACTAGACTAGACTAGACTAGACTAGACTAGACTAGACTAGACTAGACTAGACTGACTGGACTGGACTGGACTGGACTGGACTGGACTAGACTAGACTAGACTAGACTAGACTAGACTAGACTAGACTAGACTAGACTAGACTAGACTGGATTGGACTGGACTGGACTGGACTGGACTGGACTGGACTGAACTGGACTGGACTGGACTGGACTGGACTGGACTGGACTGGACTGGACTGGACTAGACTAGACTAGACTAGACTAGACTAGACTAGACTGGACTGGACTGGACTGGACTGGACTGGACTGGACTGGACTAGACTAGACTAGACTAGACTAGACTAGACTAGACTGGATTGGACTGGACTGGACTGGACTGAACTGGACTGGACTGGACTGGACTGGACTGGAGTAGACTGGACTGGACTGGACTGGACTGGACTGGACTGGACTAGACATGACTGGACTGGATTGGACTGGACTGGATTGGACCGGACTGGACTGGACTGGACATGACATGACAGGACTGGACATGACTGGACTGGATTGAACTGGACTGGACTGGACTGGACTGGACTGGACATGACTGGACTGGACTGGACTAGACTAGACTAGACTAGACTAGACTAGACTAGACTAGACTAGACTAGACTGGATTGGACTGGACTGGACTGGACTGGACTGAACTGGACTGGACTGGACTGGACTGGACATGACTGGACTGGACTGGACTAGACTAGACTAGACTAGACTAGACTAGACTAGACTAGACTGGACTGGACTGGACTGGACTGGACTGGACTAGACTAGACTAGACTAGACTAGACTAGACTAGACTAGACTAGACTAGACTAGACTGGATTGGACTGGACTGGACTGGACTGGACTGGACTGGACTGGACTGGACTGGACTGGACTGAACTGGACTGGACTGGACATGACTGGACTGGACTGGACTGGACTGGACTGGACATGACTGGACTGGACTGGACTGGACTAGACATGACTGGACTGGATTGGACTGGACTGGACTGGACTGGACTGGACTGGACTGGACATGACATGACAGGACTGGACTGGACTGGACTGGACATGACTGGACTGGATTGAACTGGACTGGACTGGACTGGACTGGACTCGACATGACTGGACTGGACTGGACTAGACTAGACTAGACTAGACTAGACTAGACTAGACTAGACTAGACTGGATTGGACTGGACTGGACTGGACTGGACTGGACTGGACTGGACTGGACTGGACATGACTGGACTGGACTGGACTGGACTGGACTGGACATGACTGGACTGGACTTTGGGAATGGTGTTAATATTCTACTGGATCCAAGGAGGAAAGTAATTGGAGTTTTTGAAGTGGGAATTGTTTTGGGATTAGGGTTTCTGGTTAATTCCATGGAGCGAGTGACATCATAATGTTTGCCTTAAAGCAGATACTCCTTATTTGGGCATTTCCTCTTTGTTGCTACGACGGTTGCTAAGGCGACCTGGAGTTTAGGATAATAAAGATGCTTTAGCATAAAAAAGAACTACTACTGATACTACTGATACTACTACTACTACATAAGAGAGGTAGACCCAGGACTTTATTTAAAAATGATTCATAAAAAAAAAAAAAATATATACAACTTTAAATGACCTTGAAAAATATGTAAACATGACGGTTTCCCTCAATTCTTTTCTAAAATGTTCTGGTTTCACATTTAATTAGTTTATTTTATGAATCTGAAAATATGTAACAAACTTCACTCATTCAAAGCATCAGGTCTGTTGCATAAAATAAATATCTCCAGATGTTGGTGCTCTTGGTCAGGACCAGAGCTGGAGGATTTAACCTATAGTGTGTATGTTTTCAGTGGTAGGGGGAATCGGAGCACCCGGAGGAAACCTACGCAGTCACGGGGAGAACATGCAAACTCCACTCAGAAAGACCCTGTTCCGACCGGGATTCGAACCAGAGAAACTAAACAGAGCCACTTCAGGGAAACTTTTATAAAACAGTTTTGTTCCAGCAACTTCTATCAGACAGAGAAGGATTTTGGAAAGATGAAAAACATAGTAATTGTTCTGATAATTAAAGTCAAATATCGCCTTTTGTCACACTTGTACGCTTCAGTGTGAACAGGCCCAATAGACTGGTGAATATTGATGAAACAGTGAATCAAAGTGAACATTTGTAGTGTTTTTGCCAGTCTTAAAGATGGCCGCCCCCGCTCCCGCCTCACACACACACACACCTCTCTTTGCCGTGACTTCTCTCTGCTTTTATGTGCATATATTGTGTGTGGATTTGCATAAGAGGCTTATTAGAACGCCGTGCCAATTCCTCCTGACTGCCGCGCCGACATTAGCATTAGCGCTCGCAAAAAAGAAAATGCCACATACAGACTTCCTGAGACAGCGCAGGTTAATTCAAGGTTGAGTTCCGACTTCACCACGGGCCTTTTGTCTCCGAGAGCTGGGAGCAAAGATACGGAAATTAAACAACGGCAAAGGCGGCGTTATCTCCGGTCTCTTTATTCAAACTCTATCCGCTCCATTAGCATCTGTTTGGAGTTGCTAACGTGATGCTAACGTGATGCTAACACAGTGATGCTAACAGGTCAAGGTGAAGTCATTGCTGAATTAATATATTTTTGTATGGGCTTGAATCACAACAGTTATCTCGAAGGACTCTCGATTCGACAGCACAGATCAGAGAATCAAACGGTTCAAACTCAAGAAACGCAATCATTTAAAACACGTCCGTACACTGCAAAAAGTGAAGAAAAATAAGTTAAAAATTGCTCAAAATTTGGTTACATTTCTCTTGATTTTGACTGAATTAAACATGACTTTTCAAAGGGACAAAGAGAAAAATTATCTAGTTTTTAAAAAAAATATAAGAAATGTCTCCCTGGGAAATCTTGTTTTAAGATAATTAAGATAAAATAAACACAATTCAAGCAATTTTCCCCCATATTTTATCTTTTTTTGCAGTGTAAGAGGCAGAAAACCAATGTTCATAAATGTTTATTGTTTCCTTTTAAACCTGATCTTAAGAATAATTAACTTGGAATTGAATGTTTTAGATTATGAAAAACATGTATGACTCACAGTCTGTATGTAGATGGACCATGCTAACCCGCTAGCTCAACGAAGCCCATTAGGGAAGTGCTCACAGACGAAGTGTCGCTCTGGCTCCTATTGACTTCTATGCTAAAGTAAACTCCTCTCGCTCGGTCTAGGGCTTAAAAATCCTTGGTTAGTTGGTTCCGTCCTGGGTTTAATCCTGGACGGAAAAGGGCCTGTCTGAGTAGAGTTTGCTTGTTCTTCCTGTGTCTGTGTAGGTTTCCTCCGGGTGCTACGGTTTCACCTAAAACCATCAAAACCATGTACAATTGGTCAGTTCCTCCAGCTTTCTTAGCAACACAACGGCACAAAGCTAACACCGCAAAATAATTACCCGTATGAGGAAATAGACTCCAGCTAGCTTACGTTCAAATCAGCTTCTTCCACGTTAAGGCTAACACCGTGGTGATGTCACACTCGGTCTGTCCTACTGTACGGTCTGTCGTGGTGAGAAGTGGAGCAAAGGCAGATGACACAGCGCCCCCGGTGGAGCGGAGGACACCTGTCTTCCGGGCTTCACCTTAGCATTAGCCTCATTAGCGTCGTTAGCATCACTAGCATAGCGTGGCATACTCTTCCCTAGCCGCTTCAATCCTGGCTGAGTCCTGCTTCCGGCTCGTGTCTATCAAGGCGTGACTCTGGTGATTTATCGGCCGCCGTTTGATTCCCGGTCCTGGGTCAGTCCCGCTTTAACCCTCGCCTTCCCACTGTCAATGATTAGTGCGTTGTGTTCTCCAGAGCGTGGGGGGAGGGAGGGGTGAGAAAGGGGGAGGGAAGGGGTGGGAGGGAGGGAGGGGGAGGGAGGGGTGAGAGAGGGGGAGGGAAGGGGAGGGAGGGAGGGGGAGGGAAGGGGAGGGAGGGGGAGGGAAGGGTGAGAGAGGCTGGAGAGGGATGAGAGAGGGGGAGGAAGGGGTGAGAGAGGGGGAGGGAGGGGGAGGGAAGGGTGAGAGAGGCTGGAGAGGGATGAGAGAGGGGGAGGAAGGGGTGAGAGAGGGGGAGGGAGGGGGAGGGAAGGGGAGGGAGGGAAGGCTGAGAGAGGGGGAGGAATGGGGAGGGAGGGGTGAGAGAGGGGGAGGGAAGGGGTGGGAGGGAGGGGGAGGGAAGGGGAGGGAGGGAGGGGTGAGAGAGGGGGAGGGAAGGGGAGGGAGGGAAGGGGAGGGAGGGGTGAGAGAGGCTGGAGAGGGATGAGAGAGGGGGAGGAAGGGTGAGAGAGGGGGAAGGAGGGGGAGGAAGGGTGAGAGAGGGGGAGGGAGGGGGGTCCTGGTGCATTGAACGTTTACTCAAAGTCCGAAAGAATCCTTTTAAAATCACATGTAAAACCATCAGAAAAGGCCTTTGGTTTCATGAAAGTGACAAACAACAACAGGAGCAAAGGAAACGCTCCGCATTCAACAGTAAAGACGGCATCTGATCCAGGACTGAGGCTGTAGACCCAGGACTGAGGCTGTAGACCCAGGACTGAGGCTGTAGACCCAGGACTGAGGCTGTAGACCCAGGACTGAGGCTGTAGACCCAGGACTGAGGCTGTAACCAGGACTGAGGCTGTAGACCCAGGACTGAGGCTGTAGACCCAGGACTGAGGCTGTAGACCCAGGACTGAGGCTAGATCCAGGACTGAGGCTGTAGACCCAGGACTGAGGCTGTAGACCCAGGACTGAGGCTGTAGATCCAGGACTGAGGCTGTAGACCCAGGACTGAGACTGCAGACCCAGGACTGAGGCTGTAGACCCAGGACTGAGGCTGTAGACCCAGGACTGAGGCTGTAGACCCAGGACTGAGGCTGTAGACCCAGGACTGAGGCTGTAGATCCAGAACTGAGGCTGTAGACCCAGGACTGAGGCTGTAGACCCAGGACTGAGGCTGTAGATCCAGGACTGAGGCTGTAGACCCAGGACTGAGGCTGTAGACCCAGGACTGAGGCTGTAGACCCAGGACTGAGGCTGTAGACCCAGGACTGAGGCTGTAGATCCAGGACTGAGGCTGTAGACCCAGGACTGAGGCTGTAGACCCAGGACTGAGGCTGTAGATCCAGGACTGAGGCTGTAGACCCAGGACTGAGACTGCAGACCCAGGACTGAGGCTGTAGACCCAGGACTGAGGCTGTAGACCCAGGACTGAGGCTGTAGACCCAGGACTGAGGCTGTAGACCCAGGACTGAGGCTGTAGATCCAGGACTGAGGCTGTAGACCCAGGACTGAGGCTGTAGACCCAGGACTGAGGCTGTAGACCCAGGACTGAGGCTGTAGATCCAGGACTGAGGCTGTAGACCCAGGACTGAGGCTGTAGACCCAGGACTGAGGCTGTAGATCCAGGACTGAGGCTGTAGACCCAGGACTGAGACTGCAGACCCAGGACTGAGGCTGTAGACCCAGGACTGAGGCTGTAGACCCAGGACTGAGGCTGTAGACCCAGGACTGAGGCTGTAGACCCAGGACTGAGGCTGTAGATCCAGGACTGAGGCTGTAGACCCAGGACTGAGGCTGTAGACCCAGGACTGAGGCTGTAGACCCAGGACTGAGGCTGTAGACCCAGGACTGAGGCTGTAGACCCAGGACTGAGGCTGTAGATCCAGGACTGAGGCTGTAGACCCAGGACTGAGGCTGTAGACCCAGGACTGAGACTGCAGACCCAGGACTGAGGCTGTAGACCCAGGACTGAGACTGCAGACCCAGGACTGAGGCTGTAGACCCAGGACTGAGGCTGTAGATCCAGGACTGAGGCTGTAGACCCAGGACTGAGACTGCAGACCCAGGACTGAGGCTGTAGACCCAGGACTGAGGCTGTAGACCCAGGACTGAGGCTGTAGACCCAGGACTGAGGCTGTAGATCCAGGACTGAGGCTGTAGACCCAGGACTGAGGCTGTAGACCCAGGACTGAGGCTGTAGATCCAGGACTGAGGCTGTAGACCCAGGACTGAGACTGCAGACCCAGGACTGAGGCTGTAGACCCAGGACTGAGGCTGTAGACCCAGGACTGAGGCTGTAGATCCAGGACTGAGGCTGTAGACCCAGGACTGAGGCTGTAGACCCAGGACTGAGGCTGTAGACCCAGGACTGAGGCTGTAGATCCAGGACTGAGGCTGTAGACCCAGGACTGAGACTGCAGACCCAGGACTGAGGCTGTAGATCCAGGACTGAGGCTGTAGACCCAGGACTGAGGCTGTAGACCCAGGACTGAGACTGCAGACCCAGGACTGAGGCTGTAGACCCAGGACTGAGGCTGTAGACCCAGGACTGAGGCTGTAGACCCAGGACTGAGGCTGTAGACCCAGGACTGAGGCTGTAGACCCAGGACTGAGGCTGTAGACCCAGGACTGAGGCTGTAGACCCAGGACTGAGGCTGTAGACCCAGGACTGAGGCTGTAGACCCAGGACTGAGGCTGTAGACCCAGGACTGAGGCTGTAGACCCAGGACTGAGGCTGTAGACCCAGGACTGAGACTGCAGACCCAGGACTGAGGCTGTAGATCCAGGACTGAGGCTGTAGACCCAGGACTGAGGCTGTAGACCCAGGACTGAGGCTGTAGATCCAGGACTGAGGCTGTAGACCCAGGACTGAGGCTGTAGACCCAGGACTCAGGCTGTAGACCCAGGACTGAGGCTGTAGACCCAGGACTGAGGCTGTAGACCCAGGACTGAGGCTGTAGACCCAGGACTGAGGCTGTAGACCCAGGACTATGACCCACTCTATATTATTTGTCTTGTTGAAGTATTCACACCATTTGTCATCTTTTATAAGTCACATATTTTTTTCCCAAAACCCAAAAGTGAAAAGCAGTAAATCCAGAGTCGCATTTTAGCCACGATTAAATATTTAAGTTTCATAACATTTTGGGCAGTGGCAGAAACACAGAGTCTCAGGAGGACGCAGGACGAGTGCTATGGGATGGAGTTTGGATAAAGCAGCAGGTACTGGTTATCCTGGTCTTACCATGTGTAAACTCTGGACCATGGTCATTTCCTACATGTACGTCTGGTCTTACCATGTGTAAACTCTGGTCCATGATCCTCTCCTACATGTAAGTCTGTCGGTTGAATCTCCTCCGACCAATCAGAGAGCGGGGGAGGCGGGTCTTGTAGGCCGGTGTCGGTGACGTCAGAGTTTGTGCTGTTGCTGGTTGTAGTTTGTCGGAGAATGCGGAGGACGTCTGAGATCAGTTCGTTCTCACTGGATAAACACTGTCTGTGTTTTTCACTGACACGTGCGCAGGTCTGTCCGCTTCAGTTCAGAGACTGGTGTCTGACCACAGCAGCCACAGACCATGAAGACTTAAATGTGGATTTTACTGCTCTCTCAGTTCTCTGGCCCGTACTGTCTGTAATGTTTATAATACTGTTTGTACGGACTGCCCGTGAACGCACCACACACTAACATACGCTCGAGCCGACAAATAGTAACGGCTGCAGCAACACGTCTGTGTAGGACAGAGAGCAGAGTAAACACACAAACACAACCATCGGTCTCATTAGTGTCAGTGACACATTACACTGTGCTCTACACTTCTCCACAGACCTCACAGAGACAGCATCAGCCGTGACTCTGCAGCTGTGTACACAGCCGCGACACATATACAGAATCATGATATATTCAGGAAACAGGAGCCTGTGAGTGTTGATAGTGACCAGCAACAGATCCTGCCCTTTGATAAATGTCAGTCGGTCTGTGGGGCTGCTCCTGCTGGTCCCTGCTCCTACTGGTCCCTGCTCCTGCTGGTCCCTGCTGGTCCCTGCTCCTGCTGGTCCCTGCTCCTGCTGGTCCCTGCTCCTGCTGATCCCTGCTGGTCCCTGCTCCTGCTGGTCCTGCTCCTGCTGATCCCTGCTGGTCCCTGCTCCTGCTGGTCCCTGCTCCTGCTGATCCCTGCTGGTCCCTGCTCCTGCTGGTCCCTGCTCCTGCTGGTCCCTGCTCCTGCTGGTCCCTGCTCCTGCTGGTCCCTGCTCCTGCTGATCCCTGCTCCTGCTGATCCCTGCTCCTACTGCATCAGGGAAACAATCCGCTGATGATCTACAGTAGAATGTGTGCTGCTGGAAGCCGTGGTTACCAAGGAATTTCCCCAGATACTGGTTTGTTGTGGGCAGGTTGTAGTGTTACAGAGTTGTGTGTAATGTTTGTGTGTTTCTGTATCGCAGTAATGTAAGGATTAAAAACCTGGGTCATATTTGACTCGGTTCAAAGGTCAGTCAACACCGAGACACATCTGCGCACATGGTATTTGTCCAGAAGTGTTGTTCCTTTCTGGTAGCTCCACGTGGACGATGGTACATGTTACAGATGGAGGGATTATGCTACAGTAGCATCAGAAGCTACAGTCACTTTGTTTTCATTGGTACTTTTCCCAAATATACTGTATGTAGTAATAACACATGTCCAAACCTGCATGCAAGAGCCAAATCCTGTCAGATACTGAAGCTAAGCAGGGCAGGGCCTGGTTAGTGCTGTGATGGGAGACCTCTGGGAACAGCAGGTGCCACAGTGGGGCGACTGCGGCTGTAAAGTGCCAAACTGTGGTTGTGTCCTTAGGCAAGACACTTCCCCCACATTAGAATGAGTCTGGTGTGTGTGTGAATGGTTGGTGGTGATGGGAGGGGCCGATGGCACAGACTGGTTGCCTCGCTTCTGTCAGTGTGCCCCAGGGCAGCTGTGGCTACAGCAGTAGTTTATCAGTAGTTGGAGAGAATGAATACTGATGAGAAAAGACTTTGAGTGTCCAAAAGTACTCTGTATAAAACCAATGCATTATTATTATTATTATTATTATTATTACTTTAAAATAAGAGTAACAAGTAACATCATGTATCACGTTTTGCCGAACACCTGTTGGTTGCTAGGATACAGAACCATTTACTCGGTGGAAACAGGCCTTTACATTTGAACCATATTAAAGGACTATGGTATACCATGTGGAGGACTAGCTGCAGAACCATATCTGGTCCTTGTACAACACTCATATTATTTGATAACATCTGTGTCTGCAGCTGTAGCACATCCACTGGGTTAATCCACAGCTGCAGGAGTCCCTGCGGCACACGCTATCGGCCGCACAACTGATGGCTAATCAATCAGCCTGTGTGTGTATGTGGGTGTGTGTGTGTGTCTCTGTGTGTGTGTGTGTGTGTGTGTGTGTGTGTGTGTGTCTCTGTGTGTGTGTGTGTGTGTCTCTGTGTGTGTGGGTGTGTGTATGCGAGTGGGTGTGTGTGTGTGTGCGTGTGTATGCGCGCGTGTGTGTGTGTGTGTGAGTGAGTGTATGTATGTGTGTGTGTGTGTGCGTGTGT